AGCCAAAACAATCTTTAAAACAAAACAAAACAAAACAAAAAAAAAAAAAAACAAGTAAAAAGTACGAAGACTTAGACTACCTGAGTTCCAATAAAGCTACACCATTCAAGGGGCACCTGGGTGGCTCTGCTGATAGAGCACCAGACTCCTGATTTTGGCTCAGGTCATGATCTCAGGGTTGAGAGAGGAGCCTGGCAGGGAGCCTGGCAGGGAAAGCCCACACCTTTCCCACCAGTCACCACGTCACCAGCACAGGCCACCCTTTGGTGCATGTGCGCTCTCTCTCTCTCTCTCTCTCTCTCTCTCAAAAACAACAACTACAACAAAAACAAAGTGACAGTACTCAAAATACTGAGGTATGGGTGAAAAGGCAGATATTACATTAGTGAAACAGAAGAGAATCCAGAAAAAGATTCAAACTGCTATATGCTTATACAGCAGCTGATGTTCAAAAAAGGTATCAGGGCAACGAAATGAAAAAGTCTATGTTGTTCCAACAACTGGCACCTGTGTAGAAAAAGAATGAACTTCCATCTCTCTCATATCACATACAAAATTAATTGAAAAGAATCACAGACCTGAAGGCAAGAACTAAAACATCAAGAAAGCACAGAAACAATCTCTGTTATCATGAGGAGATCAAAGGAACTTTCACAAAAGGAAGATGATACACTGGACTTAAGGAAAGTTAAACATTTTGCTCTCTAAAAGACACCATTACAGAAAACAGTCATGGGATGGGAGGAAATATCTGTAAATACATGTATCAAAGGAATTATATCTGCAATATAAAAAAACTCTTACAACTAAGTAATTATATTAAAAACAATTCAATTTTTTAAATTGGGCAAAAGATACTTTACAAAAGAAGACATACAAATAGGCAACAAGACATGAAAAGATGTTCAATATGACAGTCAGGAAATTCTAAGTAAAACCTCACTGAATGAGACACAGACAGACATCATTAGTAATGTCAAATGTCAACAAAGAAATCTCAATGAGATACCACTACACACGCATTAGAATCATTAATGAAAAAAGACTGACACCCCAAGTCTTGTTAAGGATGTTGAAGAACTGAAATTCTAACACATGACTGAATGGGAATATAAAATGGTACGGCCACTTAGAAATGTGTTTGACAGTTTTCTTAAAAAGTACCTGCACACATACAATCTTGCCATTTCGCTCGTTAGGTGTACTTACTCAAGAGCAGTGAAAATACACATCTCACAAAGACTGAATAACAATGTTCATGACATCTTTATCATAATGGCCAAAAGCTTGGAAACATCACAAGAATCCATCACCAGGTGAACGGATCAAATACTGTGAATATCCATACACTATCATTCTACTCAGCAATAAAAAGGGACTATTGATAATGCAACAGCAAAAATCTATGTCAAAATTATTACACTGAAAAAAACCAGACCCAAAAGATTACATAAGATATTCCACTCAAACAACATTCTAGAAAATGAAAACCAATCCACGAGGTGAGAAAACATACCAATGGTTGTCTGAGGCTAGAAGCAGCAAAGCATTAAAAAAATGCATGAGGAAACTGGGGAATTTGGAAATGTTTTGTATTTTGATCGCTGTAGTAATTTCATTGATAGATACATCTGAAAAAACCTATCAAACTGTATATACTTTAAATCAGAGCTTACTATACATAAATTATAACCCATATGCTGTTTTAAAACTTACACACTAAAAATATCATTTGTGAATAATGAAGAAAAAAATTGAGTCTAAAAGAATAATATAGGGGCGCCTGGGTGGCTCAGTGGGTTAAAGCCTCTGCCTTCGGCTCAGGTCATGATCTCAGGGTCCTGGGATCGAGCCCCACATTGGGCTCTCTGCTCAGCAGGGTGCCTGCTTCCCTCTCTCTCTGCCTGCCTCTCTGCCTACTTGTGTTCTCTGTCTGTCAAATAAATAAATAAAATCTTAAGAAAAAAAAAAAAGAATAATGTAGAAGAGCTTCTATTTAAAAATATTTCCCTATAATTGTCATTAAGATTTAATAGCTCAAAAATTTCTATTAGAGATGGCTGTTTTAAAGATCAAACTATTTATTTACATGCATTTAAATTCAATAGTCCTACTCAGATGTTAAACACTGTGATGTGGCTGTACTGTAGAATTTCATATACTTTAAATTTCTGTACTGTCCTGAGAAACAGGAAATAAGACATAGGTTTAGAGAAATGCCTAACCTTGTTTTGACTCTACAAAAAAAAATAAATACTTCTCACATGACAATGTGCTTATCTTTTAAACTTATTACTTAACACAGCTCAAAACCACCATTACTCCAAGGAATTTGAAATAAACATTAACTTCTTTTAAGATTTTTCAATTCACTTCACTTTTCATTAAGGAAAGTACCTACAACTAAATCTCTGTGAGCCAGTAAAACAATGAAGTAGAAAAATTAAAACAGCCACTAAACTTTTCCATTCAACAAAAAATGTACACACAACTCAGTCCTTCAGTCACTAAATGCACTTGGACTGCATAACCCAAGACACTTGAGCCATTTTTGGACGCGCCTAGACAGGAAAATTTCAAATGATGGGAAGGCAGCTTCACAGAAATAAAAACTCATAAAACCAAAGCCCTCTAGCAATGCTTAAGAAAACTTCAGAAGGAACTTGCTACAAAGGACCATGGGCAAAATAGCCCAAATTATTTCTGTATAGAAGTATGTTGTGCAGAATCCTTACAAGGGTTGAAATAAGAAAGAGAACAAATCAATCCGATCAGTTCAGTCAAGTGCCAAAAACAGACATTTAATTAAATACGGCAACATCTTCATTATTTAAAAATTCAAGTGATCAGCATGGTCGTGAAAGGGGAAATTTTTTCATAAAGCTTTTATGCAAAAAACTCCACAGAAGACAAGCTCATATCAAAGACTTACTCTGACTAAACAGGCTACTTAGGGTATTTTGAACTCACAGACATTCACACCACTCCCACTGTTCCCACTGTCTACAGATTCACCGATCCGAGTCTGATTCCTCACTGAGAAAATACTCTCACAGATCCCTTCTGGCTCTATCACGTATACTCAGAATAAAGACCCCTGATAAAAGGGCGCATGGGTGGCTCAATTGTTAAGCATCTGCCTTCGGCTCAGGTCATGATCCCAGGATCCTGGGATCGAGCCCCACATAGGACTCCCTGCTCAGCAGGGAGTCTGCTTTTCCCTCTCCCACTCCCCCTGCTTGTGTTCCCTCTCTCGCTGTCTCTCTCTCTGTGTGTCAAATAAATAAAGAAAATCTTTAAAAAAATTTTAAAAAGTTTTTAAAAGACCCCTCATAAAAACAAAAACCCTAAGTATGGAAGAGGTGAGAAAGTAAGAAGTAAATCCATGCGAATATTAAAAAATCATTCAGTTATTTAACACATGGCCCAATCCCAACAAGATCATTCAATCTCTAACACATAAAAGACTATTATCATGTCATGTAATACTCAGGAAACACAACTATACCAGGAATACAAATCAGCCATATCCACATGCTTCCCTGAAAGCCAGCTGGACAGTAGAAAAGTCCCTAAGTTGGGAATCTAGATTTTATTCTATGCTCCATTATGAACTTTTCGGATTGTTGGCATTTAACAATCATCTGGCCTTTCTGAGCCTTAGAATCTAATCTACTTAGAGACTGAACAGATGATCTCAAAAGTCCCTTTCAACTACAGTCACCTCTCAAGAAAAATGAAAACCGAAAAGGGGGCTGAAATTACATTCAGTTAGTTACCAGGAATTCCTCAGCCTTGTGCTCAGTATCCTATGTAAGTATATGTAACTTTATTAGTACATCAGTAATGCATAGAAATCCATTATTACTTCATCAGATTTGATGATTTCACATTAGTAACCACTCAGAGAAGAATTATTTCAAGAAACTTTAAAATACAATTACTTTTCCTAAACAGCCCTACAGGATGTATTTTAATGTCAAAAAGGAATGTCCATGGGGCACCTGGGTGACTCAGTGGGTTAAGCCTCTGCCTTTTTTGGCTCGGGTCATGATCTCAGGGTCCTGGGATCGAGCCCTGCATCAGGCTCTCTGCTCAGTGGGGAGTCTGCTTCCCCCTTTCTCTGCCTGATGTTCTGCCTACTTGTGATCTCTCTCTGTGTCAAATAAATAAATAAAATCTTAAAAAAAAAAAAAAAAAAAAAGGAATGTCCAAAAAAAGTAAACTGGTTTCAGTGATCATACTATTTATAGCAATTTGAGCTGCTGTGTTAAAGGATTAGAGCAGATGAGTAATCCTGAAGGACGCCACACAACCAACTCAGTATTATTAGGCTCACTTGTTACATTTTACTTTAGATTTTTTGAAGGACTATTATTTTTAAAACTTACTTTAGTATAGTATATATGTATATATGTATAGTATATATGTATAATCATGTGAAATATTTACATGGCTCCAAAGCACAATTATAAAACAACAAATTTGTTCCAGGAAGTCTGACTTCTTCTCTATTCCCACACACATTCTCAGAGACAGAGAAGGCGGCAAAAAGTATGGCCTCTAGATTCACATCTTGAGTGTATGACCTTGGCTTGTGACTTAATGGCTCTAAAGTTATTTCCTCATGTCTACAGTGGTGATAATAATAACACCTACTTCAGAGGGACACTGTGAGGATTAAATAAGATAATCTGTTAACAGTGGTCAGCTTTGTGGGATCTTGGGTGAAGTACCACTGGCGTGAGGCTTTTATCTGGGGCTCAACACAATCCTGAGGGACAGTGAGGAAATGAACCTAGAGGCGCCACATCACTGCATCAAGGTCATGGGGCCCACGGCCACGACCACAACCCATCTTTCAATCCCAGTGCTACACCACAGCGCTCACTCCTAAGATTCCAGGCTCCTTCTTATTTCATACTCGTCGCACACGGCCTACAGCCAGCACAAGGGAGAAAGAACTTTGCTCCCACTCGGGCCAACTTCAAAAGACTCACTGTATTCAGTGCACTGAGGGTAGTGTCATCCCGGGACGCCGCAACACAGCCGTCTTCCGTGGAGCCTCCATCGCACATCCCTGCGAATGCGGCCATGCTCCTGGGAAGACAGAAAGGGAAACATCAGCAAAGAAACTTTAACCCTCAGTTTTCAGAATGCATTTTCAGCCCAAACCGAATTCCATTACTACAGGCATGATAAGCTAGAGTTCTCAGTCTTGTTTCTGCTTTTCTAGAACAGAAAACGTTTTCTAGGGGAAGCTGGGAGGCTCAGTGGGCTAAGCAGCCGACTCTTGCTTTCCGCTCAGATCGTGATCTCAGGGTCTTGAGACGGAGCCCTGGCTCCACACTGAGCACAGAGTCTGCCTGAGAGTCTCTCTCTTTCCCTCTGCCCCTCCCCTCACTTGCACGCTCACCCTCAATCTCTAAATAAATAAATAAAATCTTTAAAAAAAAAACTTTTAGGGGCACCTGTGTGGCTCAGTCAGTTAAGCATCTGACTTCTTCTTTTTTTTTTTTTTTTTTTTTTAATATTTTACTTATTTATTTGTCAGAGAAAGAGAACAAGCAAGAGGAGCAGCCGGCAGAGGGAATAGCAGGCTACCCCCCACGGAGCAAGGAACCCGAGACCGGACTCGATCCCAGGACTCCAGGATCACGACTTGATCGGAAGGCAGATGCTTACCCACCTGAGCCACCCAGGCGTCCCTAAGCATCTGACTCTTGATTTTTGGCTCAGAAAATCTCAGGGTGATAAGAGCTGGGTGTGGAGCCTGCTTAAGAGTCTCTCTCTCTCTCTCTCTCTCCCACCACTCCCCATCTCCAAAAAAAAAGTTAAGATCCTCTACACTTCACTCTTCACTCAATCACAAACGAAAGTGCTTCGTCTACTTCAGTCCACTTGTGTTACTTCTTCCCGCACTTTACCAATACTCAGATTTTCCCAATACTCAGATAATAATCTTTCTGAAAGAAAGATCTTTTGAGAAACAAAAAAAAATTAAATACTCTGAAACTTTGCTTAATTCCTTTCATGCTATACATCCACTAACTTTAGTGGAGTTAAAAGCAGGGAAGGGGAGGAGAAGAATTCTAAGTGGCCACTCACACACCGCCGTGAGGCAGCCTCGCCTCTGCGGCCAGCGTCTATGCACAGCACAGCGGACCAAAGGTTAGAATGCAGCTACCGGCCTGCCCCAGCACCCGCTGCTGATACTACGGTGAATCCCAAAGCCCACTGCAGACGAACCAAGGCTCTCAGCCCGCACTGTGACGTGCAGGGCCAGATTTAAACTTATCTTTTATATTTTAGGCATTCATAGGTTAGCAAGTTCGCCTGTAGGTAAGCCACAAAAACACTAAGCTTGGGTCAGGCATCAATGAACAGCCTAAAGTAGAGCTGTAATGGGATTTTAAAATGGGCTACATGACCCAATTACTCAATTTATATTTAGAAGTGTTGATAATTGCATATATGGTTTAAGATGCTTCCCTTCTGAAGAGTTCTAAAATCTGATATGGGGCAAAGATTGGGGGGGGGGGGAGTGACTTTATCATGGTAAACTTCTTCTCTGGCAAGAAAAATCAGAGCACGGATTACAGAGCGTATAACAAAATATAAAGTGAGAGAACGTTTGATGTATAAATAAAATTTCAGGGGATAGGACAAAGTTTACTGCCTCCTAATCAATCCAGATGGCCTAATTCAGAGGGCAGAATGGGGAGAATTCCTATTACCTTGCTGCCCTCAAGTACATGAGGAGGTCACAGTCATTAACTCCAGGCATCCAGACCAGTTCCTCATGCTGGGTCACAGTGTCACCATCTGGAGAAGGGAACGGCTGCAACTCAGGAAGTTTGGCCTGTAAGACAGGGATGCAAAGTCACATTCAAGGAGGATTTAAAGAGCTACCCCGACAGGCAGACCCTGGGAGCAGACGCAGGAGTTACTGAGCCACTTTCTCCAGGCAGTACCGAGAAGGAAAAAAAAAAAAAAAAAAAACCAAAACAGAAAAACTGTGAGTCACTGAAACCAGCCTGTAGGACATTTCAGGATCATTTCACCATAGAAGATTTCACAATGGACGGCTTAATCTCTACTTAAGGAGCAGCAAACAGCGTCAAAATAAACCAGTGCCAGCATAATCTAAAGAGTAAAACAAAAATGGATGCATGTGAATAAAAGAAATTAGGAAAAAAAAAAAAAAAAACCTCAGGACATAATAGCTCCTTGATGGAGAAGGGGAAAACACACATTTCCAATATAACAAGTTTACAAAGTGACAGATAGAAATAATGAAACCTCACCTAAGGATATTCACTAAAAAACCAAACGACCTATCCTATTAAGTTAAGCTACTCTCAAGAGAGTCAACAACTACAGTATTATCAAGGAAAACATTAAAAAAGACACAAAATTGGAGTTAATATTACAAACACACTTGAACTAAATGATGGGGTCAGAAATGAGACTGCAGCAGCTTCAGGAGGAGCGGACTGTTCTGAAGGGAAAGAAAGGAGCTTTCAGAGGCCAGCGAGATGCTGCACGGTGATATGAACTGTGACAGCAGACACAGCAGTCTACATGAGATATGAACCCTATGTCAAGTGTATCTCAATAAAATTTTTTTAAAGTATCTGAACAACAGTGCTCAACAACCAAGATTCTGAATCACCTCTGGGTTAGAGATCCAAATACCCCTAGCAGGTTCTCAACGTCACTCCGCTGGGACAGAGCAAGAGTCAGCAGGTACTGACTACCACAACCTTCAGAGGCCTAGAAAGCCAACCGTCTGCAAAACAGCATGAATGAGGACATTTCCGTCGCATATTTTAAACTAAGGGTTATAGTTAAAAAGTTCCAGTGTTGGGGCACCTGGGTGGCTCAGTGGGTTAAAGCCTCTACCTTCGGCTCAGGTCATGATCTCAGGGTCCTGGGATCGAGCCCCACATCGGGCTCTCTGCTCAGCGGGGAGCCTGCTTCCTCCTCTCTCTCTGCCTGCCTCTCTGCCTACTTGTGGTCTCTGTCTGTCAAATAAATAAATAAAAATCTTAAAAAAAGAAAAAAAAAGTTCCAGTGTCCACAGAAACCAGGCAAAAAAATTAATTGAAGCAAGAAGAGGACAAGGCAGCACTGTCCAACAGAAATAAAATGAGAGCTACATATTTCATTTCAAACATTCTAGTATCCTTATGAGGTAAAGCATCGCCTCCCAGGTCGGCCTAGCCGCATTTCAAGTGTTCTTAGCCACTTGCGCCCGTGGCTCCTGTCCTGGGCGCATGGGTATCAGATGCTAGCAGTGAAGGGAACCAGGGTGTAATGGAGAAAGTACTGCCCTGTCCAGGGAAAGCAACCAAGCAGGGACAAGAACTAGTACTTGTATATCCCCTGATTTTTTTCCCCCAAAGTCCAGAAATTTTGACTTTTTAAAACAATCTTGTGGCAAAACATAACATTAGTAAACCATGTGGTCCTAGGGCTCCAGCCTGCCTCACGGGAGATCTCTGATTCCTCTAAATGTGTACCAAGTGCTGACTTTCTCCGAACAAGGGTGCTCTTCTTTAATTTAGTACTGACTTCTATAACATTTAATTGGGTGCTTCAAGGAGATCTGCTTAAGACACAGCGCCATGCCGGAACGAAATCTAAAACTCAACAGATGTTTACATCAAAGAGCCTTTTCTGACATTTGTACAGACTTCTGCTCCCCCAGCACCAAGTATGGTACCTGGTGTAGTGTGCTCCAATGGCTATTTGTTAAATTAGTTAAAAAGTACTATTATTTTGGGAGAGGACAAATCTCCCCGGTCAAGAGAAAAATAAGCTGGAAATACAGTCAGATGGTTCACAGAGAAAGAAATGCAAATGGCTCTTAAAGATAAGAAAACCTGGTCAAACTTGCTGATAAGAAAAAGGCAAATCCGCAGCACTGCGATACCATTTCTCATCTATCAGCATGACATAAATCCCCAAGTGCGACAATATACAAGGCTGCTGTATTAGCACCTGCATGAGTTGCTGGCACAAATGCAAAAATGGTACAATCTCCACGGAGGGGCATTTTGTAATGCCCTCACACTTCCAGGTGCACTTGCCCTTTACGCCAGCCATCCCCCTGCTGGGAATCTTCCAAAGATACGCTGACAAAAGTATAAAAATCTTTACGCTCCGGGCATTCACTACAGCATTACTTACAACAACGCACGACTGCGATCAACTTAAATGCCCAAAAACAGGAACTGGAAGAATAAACTGTCCAGGCCTGCAATGGGGCTCCGTGAGGTAGCAGAAGTTAGGGAGGAGGAGCTCTACATCCCGCTTTGGAGGAAACAGCAGGATACATTGCTAAAAGTTCAAAGAAAGTTGGTAAAAGTGTATATATCGTGCTATCACTTGTCTAAGATCAGAAGGTTGGGGACTAAAAATAAGAAGGATAAATCGAAACTTTAAAAAAACAAAAACAAGGGCGCCTGGGTGGCTCAGTGGGTTGGGCCTCTGCCTTCGGCTCGGGTCATGATCTCGGGGTCCTGCGATCGAGTCCCTCATCGGGCTCTCTGCTCAGCAGGGAGCCTGCTTCTTCCCCTCTCTCTGCCTCTCTGTCTACTTGTGATCTCTCTCTGCCAAATAAATAAATAAATAACTTTTAAAAAAACAAAAACAAACAACAACAAAAACAACAACTATCCATCAGGGAGAGAAGGAAAATGTGGAGAGGACAGAGAGAGTAGACTTTTTTGAGCACAATTCCTCCTTCGTATGTTTGACTTTGGAGCTATGTGAGTAACTTTACATAATTATAAAAGCAAAATGAAGTTTAAAGAACAACAATCTCTTAAAAACCCTAAAGTAAAGTCAAATAAATGCACTAGCTATATATTGAGTTGGTTCCTCTCTAGGAGTTATTTCAACTAACTTTAAAACACATATTAATTTGCTTATAAAGCCCTAGTGGGATAAAATTTTTAAAAAATTTTAAAAAAAATTTTAATAGTAAACTGTTTTTAATAACCATATTGTTTGTAGCACTCTAAGTACTATTATTCTGCACTATTATATATGTATTAAGGGATTAAAGCAAATGAATATTTATATTGGAGTCATTTGAAAATGGGATTTGAGACTTGGGGAAAAGACACAGATACAAAAGGAAAGAAAGATAGGATTAAATATAAAACCCAGATAAAAATTTGAATTGAAATTAAAAAGAAGCTACAATATATTTTATCTTCAAAAAAAGGGGGGAGGGCGTATTTTCTAATCTGTTCCCTGAAAAGGCCTAGAAATAGTAACCAACTGGGCAACAATGAACACCCCACACCCAGTCAAAAAATGTCACTTCCCAATAAAACAATAAGGGCTCCTATGAGAAAAGTTTAATTCTAGATCAAGGAAATACACAAGATGGGACATTAAAATCATGTCATACGGTTAAAAGAATCCTACCCAAAATGCCCGGGGTCTGCTCAGTCAGAAGGACACAGACGGCAGGAAGAAGCATCCTACCAGTCCCAAACGGATAATTTCTCATCAGTAGGAATAAGGACAAATGGTTAGCGGGTAACAAATAATTTAAAATCCCCTGTGACTGCTGGGAGGTGCTGAGAAACCAACCTACTGCGGTTTTGAAAACTGGCAAACAGAAGGAAGGAAACAGAGCTTTCACCCTGCCTCTCCCACGTGACTCTGATAACCAAATAGGTGGCGGTAAAGGGAGCGCTTCCTTTATTCACCTAATAAACGAAGGAATGACTGAATTAGAATATCACCATGTTAAGTAACTCATCTAGTTACTTAATCTAGATCTGACTAATAAGCCACAGCTACAAATCAGCATTGCGAGGACACACATACCTCCTGGTGGACATACACCGCACGACCTAGGCCAGGGGCAGAGGGCTACACCAGGATGATATTCAACTTCTATATTTAACTACTAATTTTCAAGGTATGCCAAGGACAAACGAACAAGCCTAATTACACATAAAGATGAAATCAGCCAAATCCAGACTATGGGACAACCAAATGGACGAAACACTCCCCTTCTTCAATACATACATTGAAAGAAGAGGAAAATGAGAACAATATATGAATTAGAAGAGATTTAAGAGGGGCGCCTGGGTGGCTCAGTGGGTTAAAGCCTCTGCCTTTGGCTCAGGTCATGACACCAGGGTCCTGGGATGGAGCCCTGCACCGGGCTCTCTGCTCAGCGGGGAACCTACTTCCCTTCCTCTCTCTCTCTGCCTGCCTCTCTGCCTACTTGTGATCCCTGTCTGTCAAATAAATAAATAAATAAAATCTTTTTAAAAAATAAAAGAGATTTAAGAGATGTATTAACCAACTGCAAATCATGGCTCTTATTTAGATTCCAATCTGAACTGTAAAAAAAAAAAAAAAAAAAAAGGGAAATCTAGACTAAGGGGGTACTTAAGAAATTGCTAATTTTTATTAGGTGTTACATATTACAATTTTTTTTGGAAAGAGCTCTTATCTTTGGGATATCACAAGTAAAATGACAGATTTGTGATTCATTTCAAAATAATGGTTAGAGAGGTATGAAGGAGAATAAATGAAACAAGTTGACCATAATCTGGTACGTGTGAAAGCTGACTAATAAGGATAAGGGGATTTATTTTACTATTCTTTTTTAATTTTCACATATGTTAATATTATACCTAATGCAAAAAATTAAAATTTTAATAAGGAAAATATTGCCTTAATCCATAAACAAGTTCTTATATTTGGTACTCTAAAACATTTCTTTTTAAAAATAAAACCTAATAAATATATTTAAAATCCGATATAAAATAAATGAAAATATAAAAGAATGTAAGCATAACAAATCTGTTCCTTTCCATGAATTTAAGCATCTTTTACTTTAGAACCACTTTTTTTGGGGTACCTAGGTGGCTCAGACGTTAATCATCTGCCTTTGGTTCAGGTCATGATCCTGGGGTTGCCAAGGGCGTGGGGAAGGAAAATGGAAAATTAGTGTTCTATGGGAACAGAGTTTCAGTCTGGGAAGATAAGAAAGCTCTGGGGGTAGATGGTTGTACGGTGATATGAATATACTTAAATATACTTAAAATCAATGAACTGTACACTTGAAATGTTTACAATGGTAAATTTTACATTATGTGTATCTTATAACAATTTTTTTTAAAGTATGCAATGATCCAGGGGAAAAAAACCAACCCTGCATTTATATAAAATTCCCTAAAGCTTAACAATGATTCTAAGCTGCTGCTTAACAGAATAAAGGGCCAGCAGAATAATAAGAAATAAAACCCTACTGGAAAAGCTACTAAAATTCGCTTTACCTGATGGCTAGGACCAACACGAATTTCTCCCTGGGTGCTGTTCAGCCTCCTGTCACGAAAAGAGCAGATCAGGTTAGCGCATACAGTTCTGGCATCGACATTCACACATTGTTTTCAAGGCAAATAATTCATTTGAAATAAATGAGGGAAAACCCAGGAAGAACTAAGTTCCCCACTATTTCTAGTGTTGTCTTGTACATGCATACTCCCCTACCCTCCCTACACATCTCTAAAATCTCTTTCCTCTAAAAACCCCCTTCCTGCCGCTTCCTGTCCTGACTCCCCATACTACTGCTCCTTCAGACCTCAGAGAGGTACATTCTGACAGTACAACCCCAGGAGAGGTTTCTTCTTTTCAAAACATTTCACATGCCCTACTGTAAACTTTATTAAAAGATAAACAAGAGAACTACGGTTCCTAGCACACACACTGAGTCATTCATTCATTCAACAAATATTTATTAAGTACCCAATATACACTCAAAACTGTCCTAGGTGTTGGAGATAAAGTAATGAGCAACACAACACCCCTGCCTTATTAGAACTTACATTTTTATCTGGGTATAAAACAATGAAACAAATAAATCGGATGATAAAAGGGCCAAAGAATTAAGGAGATGGTGAATGATGAACATTTTTACCGTTTTTTACACAAGATAGTCAGGGGGGAGGGGGAGAATGGCAGAGGGAAAGGTAGAGAGAGGATCACAAGCAGACTCCATGCCCAGGAAAGTGCCCAATAAGGGGCTTGATTTCATGACCCCAAGACCATGACCTGAGTCCAAATCAAGGGTTGGGCACCCAACTAACTGAGCCATCCACACACACCCCAGAAAAGGCCTTCATAATAAAGGGGGGGGGGGAAGCAGAGATGAAAAAGATGTGTGGGAATGAGCCCAGAAGGTCTAGGGAGGTGGAAGAATTTGTCTTGTTGCTGTGTTATGTCATTCCTACTGTACTTGCAAAGCTCACCCTCTCTTGCTTCAAATTCCAGACATCCCAGGTTCCTTTTAGAAGCCACTACTTCTGTAAAGCCTTTCCTGATCTCCTTCCCATTTCACCCCGCAACTCCCCAAAGTGTGTGTTGCCTTCCCCTTATGCTCCTTCACAAAATGCTTGTGGACTGTTTTGTCCCAGCCTTGCACAGGGTGCTAACTGGGTATATGGTGACGGACAAAGAAATACAGTCCCTGCCCTCCCGGGGCTTCACTCCCAACTCCTGGTTACCCTCAACTCTGAGTCATGACTAACTGTAGGCGGTCTCAGGCCACACTTCCCGTGCCCAGGGACAAGTCTGTTGTGTTTCAGAGCCACCTTTGAATTTCCAGCAATGCCAACGGTGGCTGGTGGACTTCACTGTGCTGCAGAGTAGAACGGAGCTAGCAAAGGACCAGAGATGCTGCACGGTCTCATGTTTGTCCTCCATGAGAGTTGATAACCCCAGTGTTAATGTATAAGGTTGTTAAAATGAATTCTGGAAAATGATTACTTCCTTCTTCTTTTAACCCAACAATTTCTCTCATGAAAAGTCTTACTTGGGGAAAGTGGGCAGTAGATATAACGAAGGGAGAAGACTCAGAAGGGAAAGGTATGGCCCAGTTCTTAAGGAGCTCACACTCCAACTACCCAGGAAGTAGTATCCATCCCCAAAACACCAGAAGAGGTCCAATCAGTACACTGGTAAGCATAAACATCTCAGAAGAAACAATACAAAAATGCCAAGGAAAATGATCAAAATTAGACAGGCTTCACAGGGAGAAAACAGTGCATGCAATAGTTAATTTCCAAAGAAATTAATGTGAAGGGGAGCACATCAGTAGGACAAAACATGACTTCCCAAGAGGGAATCAAACCCTGCACAGTGGGAGAAAAGGCTGTGCAAGTACTGTCTGTAATATACAAAGCGCCTCCAGTTCCCCACTAGGGGAACGGCATGTTGAAACACATGTCAAAAAATGGACTGTACTAGTAGGTTGATGTAGGAAGGGCATGCTGTTTCAGGAGGTCTGAGAAGAATCAAACAGGCCAGAGGGTATTTTAATCATGAATACTTTAAGAAAAATAAGCAGTCAGTACTACTGACCGTCCCTTTCTGTTTCATAACCAGCTATGAGCGAACTAGCTGCCAATAGCTCTCCCCTGTTTTTCTAAATAGTTTCCAAATGCTCGCCTGCCTACAAGCAGGTCTAGCCAAAATGTGTCATCAAAGGCTTCAGCTGCAGCCCATCCAGTAACTTGTGCCCACAGCTCATCTTCCAGGCTCTTCTAGAAGCTCTGTGCTATGCCAAGGTTCTCAAGTGGATGCCTATGAAAGCATTTCCCCATCACTGCTACACACACACTGTGAAGTCCTTGATAATTCTAGAACAAACATTCCTGGTCTGTTTTTATTTTAATCTTCTTCCTTTTTTATTATTTGTTTCTTCTTAATATTTTCATATGCCAATATTATCGTATTTAGCGCAAAAATGTGCCCAAATAACAAAACAAACACTAAATAGCTTATATCCCACTGGTTTGCATAAAATAAGTTAATTATTACTAATAATAATTACACAAGTGACACAAACAAGTGTACTGAGGATCTTAAGAGCCTAAATTGGAAATGGTTTCTCTCATTTCTGTTTCTGTCAATGACGGGTACTAACAAGGTTAGTAGTGTAAAAAGCCCAAAATAAAACAACCTTTGAAAATTTAAAAATCAGTTTTTATAACAAAATTATTTCTTAACCATATGCAATTTTAAATATCAAGGTTTCTTATAGCAAGAAAACAACAAAATTATTTTTGAGGATTAGGATCCAAGGTAAGCAGACAATGGCACTGGCCTACCATTTCCAGGAACTCCTGAATATAGAATAAATGGTAGAAATGTGTTTTAGGTCCAAGGTAAAAGGAGGCAGATAGAAACACGCCCCTTTAGAGAGAACTGGATGCATCTGAGAGAAAAACTGTCAGCATATGAAGTGAAGATGGCAGACAAGAAGTAAGCTTTGTGGGAATTAGCCAGTACCCAGCCACATCTGCAATCCAGTGAACAATCTCCGTCCCCCTCTCTCTTCTGATAGCAGCCAAACTCCACATTAAACTACATGTTCCTTAGGGTGCCTGGGTGGCTCAGTTGTTAAGTATCTGCCTTCAGCTCAGGTCATGGACCCAGGGTCCTGAGTTCAAGCCCTGCATCTGGCTCCCTGGCTAGGCGGAAAGCTTGCTTCTCCCTCTCCCACTGCCCCTCTGCCTGTGTTCCCTCTCTTGCTGTCTCTCTCTGTCAAATAAATAAATAAAATCTTTAAAAACAAAACAAAGCAAAAAAACCATGTTCCTCCCCTGATGCCTCACTGCCCCCTTCTTCTTGCATGCTCCTCTTGTGGTCCAAACTGCCCTATCAGAGGATGATACTCTGCTATGACTCATTCGGACATTTCCTACCCCACTACCCACTATGGGACTATAGACTTCTAAAGCACAAGAAATGATACCAATCTTGTGTGTGTCCCCCAAAATCTAATACACTACCTGCCTTTACACATTCAGGACAAATGTAAAGTTCCTTAGTAGCATGAATACTTCTAGATTACTGAATTGTAAAACCTGACAAAAATCACCAGGAATTACTATTTAAATGCAGTATCAACAGCCTGTGGAAAACACTCTTAATAAAATCACATGCTGACTAGTACATATTTCCTTTTACTTAACATAGCAGTTCCCAAACTTTGGTCTCAGAAATTCTTTATGGTCTTTAAATTACTAAGCATTCTAAGGAAGTTAGATATTTGAGAAATTTTCCCCCAAAAAATTGTTTTAAAATAGCAATAAGCCTATTACATATTAACATGTATAACTTATTTTTATGAAAAATAATTGTATTGAGGGGTGCCTGGGTGGCTCAGTGCGTTAAGCTTCTGCCTTCGGCCCAGATTGTGATCTTGGGGTCCTGGGATCTAGCCCCGCATCAGGCTCTCTGCTCTGTGGGGAGCCTACTTCCCCCCGCACTCTCTGCCTGCTGCTCTGCCTACTTGTGATCTCTCTCCCTCTGTCAAATAAATAAATAAATAAATAAAATCTTTAAAAGAAAAAGGAAAAGATAAAACAACTATTTAAACCAGAAAAAAAAAATTCAATGAAAACAGAGGCAATGTTTTACATTTTTGCAAATACAATACAGGACTTAATAGAAGACACCCAGATTCTCCTATGTGCTTCTACATCCAATCTATTGCAATGTTATTTTATTTTTTTTAAGATAAGATTTTATTTATGTATTTGAGAGAGACAGAGACAGTGCAAGCAGGTGGAGGGGCAGAGGGAGATGGAGAGAGTCTCAAGCAGACTCCTCACTGAACACAGAGCCTGACATGCAGCTGGATCCCACAACCCTGAGATCATGACCTGAGCTGAATCAAGAGTCAGATGCTTAACCTACTGAGCCCCTAGGGGCCCAGCAACAAGCTAGTTTAGTTAGAGTATTGAAGAAAAACCTAGCCTCACAAAGATAGTAACTGGGAATGGGAAGAATATTTTAAGATTTTATTTATTTATTTGACAGACAGAGATCACAAGTAGGCAGAGAGGCAGGCAGAGAGAGAGAGAGGAGGAAGCAGGCTCCCCACTGAGCAGAGAGCCCAATGTGGGGCTCGAACCCAGGACCCTGGGATCATGACCTGGGCAGAAGGCAGAGGCTTTAACCCACTGAGCCACCCAGGCGCCCCTGGGAAGAATATTTTAATAGTTTTTTGGGCAATTATGGATATTATTTTGGATACTATCCCAAAACTCGACAAAGTGGTCATTTCTTAACGTTTTTTACCACAATACAAATCTAAAACCTCATCTATGATCTTTCTGGACTCTTTTACATTAAAAATCCATTAGTCTGTCTTGGCCCTTCAATGGGTCCTTCTAGCTGGATGTCATTTTTGTAATGTCATGTATAAGTTAGATGGAAAATACTGGATTCAGGCTTATCCTTCAATTAGTAACAATGACAGTTAGCAAGTAAATATTTCCTACTGTTCTAGGTGCTCTGCAGTCTCATTTCTATGTATT